ACAAATGTCACCTAATCTATTTGATTGTGTAATTTTCTGAAAGAATTACCTAGTATAGGCATGTTTTATATATGTCTTTGTTGATCCATGGACAGGACAAGCTATAGATAATGAAGGGTGAAATTGTATATGTATTATCTGTTAAAAAATAAAAGAAATAAAAATCCACAATCTTCAAACTTACCATTAAGAACCCTTTCACCTCATAGCTCACTAGCAAATTGAATATATAAAGCACCTCTCACACAGAAAGTCAGAGAGCAAAGCACTAGAGCAAAACAAATACCAGTGATTAAGGAAAATTGAAAGCAGCAGTAAAAATATGTTTCTTTAGTCTACTTTTAAATACAGACTGGGAACTGCAAATATCTGGGAGTATATATAAGTGGTAATTTTTTTTGTCATTATGATTCTATGGTGTTGAATGAAAATAAGAAAAAAAATTTTGTTGCAAAACTCAGAAATCCTTTCAAGATTATTTTAAATATTCACTTAATTTATTTAGTAATAATTTTAAAGTCACTCAAATATTTTGTCATTTCTTAGACTGGCCAATTTTGACATGCTTCAGATTTATTTTAAATGATTTTAAGAGAAATGATTTAAAATGGGCTTTCCTAACCTGAGAAGGTATCAAAGAGGGGAGCCAAACCTTCTGCAAGTTTCAGTCTTTATAGCATTAGTGGACAATTTAAAGACTCTAGGGAGTATTTCATTCTGAATTGAATAATACTGAGATAATTCACCAGGGGATTTATGATTCTTCAATGGGATAAAGCTAAACTGTTTAGAAGAGTCAGTGAAACACTTAGGTGCTGATTTCATGGTGGATGGCTATTGTCAATCACTGCTTCTTTTAGCATAACCATGGGCCCATTGAAGTACCTCAAAGAATATTCTGGCAGCCATGTATTTGGAGAAAGAAGGAGCAAATAGAAATTTTATAGTTCTTCCTTTTTATCTGTAAATTTTTTCAGCAGAGTTGTTAAAGAAAAGGCAGTTTAATAAAAGAAGATCATTGATTTTGGTGAAGAAGCAGCAGCATTAAAGAAGTTATATTTTTAATTGAGAAATCTGGGGAAATGCGTCACTCTCTCTTGCTCTCTTTTAACCTGCTTTCATTCCCTTTCTCTGCTTGTTTCTCATTCTGTTGCCATCTCTCCAATTTTAACAGCTGTTTCTGCATATCATTTTCTCATTTCCTGCATTTAAGATCTTTGAACCCCCACATCTTAGAGTTTACTGATGGAAATAAGTCCGAACTCACGTACCTTTTCAAGCTTAAAAGAGACCAAGCAGGGCTTAAGAAAAAACAGGAGGGTTAACATGAGCAGTAAGAAATGGAAGAAATTTTTTTCTTTCTTTTTTCTTTTTTCTTCAATATTCTTTGGTTTCCATGGTTAAATATGTTTGGAGAGGAATTCTGAGTGCATTTCCTGAAAGCTTACATTTTTGGCAAAGGTAAAGAAGGAGGTGGCTGCTGTTATTGAGGTGGGAGGGGAGCATTTTAAAACTTGGCTAGAGCCAGTGCAAAGAGAATTTTGGAAGGTCTAGTGATTTTTTTCAGAGCTATTTATAGGGTACTACTCCTCAGTATTAAATTCAGAGGGTATTTTGAATATTAATAAGATGATTCCATGAACTGCTTGATTTATGTTGTCGGAAGTTGTGATTTTTCGTATAACTTCGTATAATGTATGCTATACGAAGTTATTACGGATCATTTAAGTCTGCCTACGAGGCTAGGGATAAGCCTTATAGGAAGCTTTTTAAGGTAATATTTGAAGGATGAAAAGATTTGGAGGTTATGGGAGAGGGGGCATGTGCAAGAGGGAATAGTATATGCAAAGGCATAAAGGGATGAGAGAATTCAAACTAGTTTGATGTTTCAGGAACGTACATGTATTTTTTGTGGGGGGAGGGACATTGGCTGGTTAGGGGATCTCAACCCCTGACCTTGGTGTTATAACACTGTGCTCTAACCAATTGAGCCAACCCATCAGCCCTGGGAATGTAAGTGTATGAAGGGCAGTGACAGGTAAGAGTTGAAGCTGAACTGAATTACTGCAACAAAATGTTTTATTTATTATAAAAATATGGAAGAACTACTATTATGTGTACAGTATTATGCTCAGTTATGAGAAGATTGAAAAAGAAAAAAGTGCAGTACACATCACATGTTGTGGGTTAAGGTACCTTGGGACTATATTTTTGGAGAATTTGTTCATGCAGTGGTGTTGCTTCTTTAGTGAAATTATATTCTAAAGCCAGCTGGAGAGGTAAAAATTACCAAAATTATTCTGGAATATTTCTTACCCTTAAAGTATAGTATACATGGTTTTGTGTATGTATAGTTTATAATTAAGGTATCTTCTAGTTGTGAGTGGCAAAACGTGCAAATTAGTCTTAAATCAGTCGGTTTTTACCCTGACTATGCAGGTAGATTCACCCGAGGTGCTTTTTAAAAAATGCCAGTGCCCAGGCCCTGACCTTGGATGCTCTGATTTATTTAGCCTAGGGAGAGGGAGTGGGCATAGGTATATTTTAGGTTTCCAGGTGATTTTAATATCTAGTCAGACACTGAGAACCATTGGTTTAAACAATAGAGGGGATTATATTGGTTTTTCAAACTGAAAACATCCAAACATAGGACTTGGTTGCTTAAGTATAACATTAATAAACATGTCAACTTGGAGTTAATTTTCCACGTTACTGCCTGTAATCCAAGAGTTTTTCTTTTAAATAAATTGTATATATAAGATTTAAATTTGTTAATTTAGGGACAAGGACTCTAAGAGAACTGAAAGCTGGAATAGTAAAATTACTAATAGTTTGTGATAATACAGTGAGGCTCAACTGGTCATCACTGCACAATAACCAGAAAAAAACGAGTGTGGGAAACAAATTTCAAGAGTTAAAGTTTCTGGAGATTAGAGATGTTTGAAAGAGTCAACACTATAGATCAAAATGAAATGTGAGATTCTGGAAATAGAGGTTTTTTTTTTTGTCTTTTGTCTTTTGTCTTTTTCCGTGTCCGTCAACGGATCGCAACCCTCAGTGTTGCCCCCGTACCGGACCGGGGACCGGCAACGGGATCGCAACCCTCGGTGTTGCTCCCGCGCCTCGCTCAGCCAGTGAGCGAGAACCGGTCTGTATGTGGGATCCGAACCCTCGGGCGGGAGCGCAACCTGATTTGGCTTTCAAAGAGCTTGCCATCCAGTCTGACTCTTTATATACATTTTTAGATGCTTTAGCCATATTTTTATAAAACATTGCATGATTATTTTTATCAGAGATTTTAATGAAATTAGAAAATAATAAAAAAGAAAATCTAAATGTGTTCATCCTGAATTTGGCCTGGCTCCTCACAGCTGCAGAAATTTATTTTCACCCCATTCCTCATCCCCCTCCCCAAAGCCCTAAAGCACAAACCCATTGGGAGTCCCCTCCATTTCCCAAAGGAAATATTTCATTCATATAATGTCTCCTTTGTAATCAACACCGAGAAATGTCACTTTGATTAAACACAACTCTGAATGACTAAGACCACAGTACAATAAATTCTCCAGAGCTATCTTTCAGAACAACTGATTGCTCTCCAGTCTTAATCCTCCAGAGTCTTATTTAATCAAAATGATGTTGCTAATTAAGGATTAAAACCTCCGAATAGAATAAAAAAGAAAGATTTTTCTTTCTCCTTTGGGCAGGTCAAGGAGGCAGAATTTGCTATAAAGAAGTAAAGAGTTCCTTCCACCTTTGGTAAAACTGCATTGTTCTCTGACATTAGGACTTAATCCAAAATAGGCCTGAATGCTTGTAATGTTAATATAATCAGAGAAAGAAAAAGAGAGAAAGCGAGAAAGAAAAATAAGGGAAGGAAGGAAAAGAGAAAAGAGGAACTGACTAGGATAACTACATATTCGATTTACTCTAAATTTTTTTGTATAGCACTTTTAATATGAATTTTTTGACACATTTTGTCTGATGCTGTCTGTGCATTATTTTTACCCATTGCTAACATTGATGGAAAGACAGAACATTTTAGAAAAACGTTGACAACCCATTTCGCAGAAAAGAGGGAGCAAGAGACTTAATGCATCTCACATCTATTTGACATCCACCGATGAATAACAACAGCAAAAAAGAAGTTTTATATTAACTGCTGAACTACTCTCCTTTAAGATCTAAATTTCAACTTTTTTCTTTAATTTTGATTTAGTAATAGAAATTGGTTTCTTAAAAAACATATAAACTGATAAACTATGTAAGAACTCATTGGAGAGACAAAGATTCACAGAAAGGCAGTTTGGTTTTCATGGAATATAAACTCTTAGGTGTTGGACGTAAAGTGGGTGAAAGAGAGAGGTGCTGGTTGATATTTTAATGAATCATAAAACACTTCACGTTTGTCATCTTCTCTCTGCATTGGCTTGCCTGTGAATTTACAATCCTGTCAAATTAGTCTATTACAATGTAGACATAACAAATACCTATAATGACAGCTACTGTCTTTTGATCACCTACTATGTGCCAAGTTTTTTGCTAGCAATATACATATTATTACCCCTAATCAAACCCCAAAAGAGGTATTATTATCCCCCTTCAGAAATGAAAAACTGAAGTAGCGAATAAATGGCTCTGAAGCGCCGCCACGCTTCCCAAGCGGCGCACTATCCAGTGCACCACCGGGCCGGCCCATCCAAGGCCACATTCTATTCGACATAAGACACCTCACATCTTTCTACTGGGAGGACAAATTTATCAGTGTGTCTGAGGAAGGTGCTGATAAGCTGTATTGGTCTGTATTCGACTCATAAGCTCCCATGATTACTGACTGAATCATCATCACAGACATCATCACATCGTCATTTATCCAGCCCCAATCAGTGACAAAGACTGAACAACTACTATCAACATGGGACCAGAAAGCAAACAATGAGACATCCCAAAGGGAGAGGAATGTCATAAGCCCATTTTCTCCCCTAACCAGTGCTACCTACTAGTTAAAAAAAGATGTTTGTTTCTTTGATCCATATTCCTGAAGGCCGTAAGCACCCAGTGGACAATTGACTGTTCTTATTCCTTCTGTGCCAAGGCGGATGGTCAACAGCGCTACCTAGAACAGCCTGTCCCGCTCCTTTGGAGGTGTGCTGTTCATCACATGGTAAGTGCCTACATAGAAATCTTCCAAGGGAAAAGCAGCCACAGATAACAAAATGGTGCCTGTAGGTAGAGAAAAAAAAGGAGAGTAATATAGCACAGACCAGCTGAATCACCAAATCACATCATAAATAAGGTGTTTCCTCTGACAGTAGCATCATTATGTGATTGTCTTATTAAAATATTTATGTTAATCACTGCAATTTGGAGGATAGCCTAATCTTTCTAAATATGAAAATTCCTTCAATTTGTGTCTTAACTAATGCAGAGTTCTAATTTTTTTTCACCTCCAGCTTGAACTACCTTTTCTTTCAGAATATATAAGCAAGTCATGTCCATTTTAATAAAATTAAAACATTGCAGAAATGTATAAAAACTAAGATGCCTGTATTCCCACCTCCAGAGAAAGCCACTGTTAGAAAAGGTGATTTGTTCTTAATCAATAGAGAGATAGAAAATAGGATGATCACTGACATCTCAGAAGCCTATTAAATAAAAATTTCTAAGAACGTTATAGTGAGAGGACCACACAGCCTCTTTCTTTCTTCTCTATTTCTCTTTCTCTAGTCACACCCTTCTTATTTCTCTCATTTCTCACACAGTGACTGGAGTCTTCTTTGCCACACAAACAAGGATGGGACCGAGCAGTGTGATCCGGGTGATGCAGGTGACAAAAAGTAACAAAGGAGCCTCCCTTCCACCCCGCCGGGACCACACTCAATGACTTCCCGTGTCTAATGAAAATCGCAGTACAGTTCCACGTTTTGGCTAAACTCCTTATATTTTGTGAAACATTTTCATGTACTATATTGTTTCATTTTGGAAAAACTTTGTGATGTCAAGAGTAAATTTTCTTATTCCAATTTTTCAAAGCAAGAAACAGGTTCAGTAAGGTTAAGTGACTTGTCCAATGTTATGGAGCAACCCAGATGTAATTTTCCTCTTCTTTGACTTCCTATCAAGTGGTCATATCACCAATTTTTTGAAATAACATTTTCCTTTATTGGTTTACAAAATTAATATATTCTTACTTCAGAAAATATGGAAAATACAGGAAAACACCCACAATAATACAAAAGGCCCATAATCTCATGACCCGGAGATAACCTTCACCACATGTTATGCTTTTATGAATATATTTTACGTAACAAATTGAGATTACACTGTTTAATATCTTTATATGTTTTTTTTCAACATGATTTCTAGTGATGATGTGAGATTCTATTGGTAATTTGTTTTACAATTCTTTTTCGGTCATTGTCAATGAATACTGCAAAAATATTCTGACACATAAACTTTGTGCATATCTTTGATTATTTCCTTAGCCTAAGTTCTTAGTCAAAGGCATTCATATTTTTATGGCTTTTTAAAACCACTGACAAATGTTCTTTGGAAATGTAACAATTTAATCTTCCACTATCATTGTAGGAGATGGCCTGCATGCATCAATACCAGTTACCGTCATTAACTTTTTTGTCTTGCCAATTTGATTGGTGAAAATGGGCTCTCCAAATTAGTTTTGTTTTCTATTTTTTAATAGAATACAAATGTTAATTGGGCATTAACATTATTTGGGATGCAATTTTTATATAGTTGTTTTACGTGGTTAGTTTTCCCAATTAGACTATAAGATCTTTATAGATAAAAATTGGGTCTAATATGCTCATCTTCCCTACAGTGGCTTTCACGATGTGAAAAATATACACCCTCAATGGTTATTTGCTGATAGATTGATTCACTGCAAGGGTGGGCCCTTTAAATTATTGAGTTTAAAATGTTTCCTTTCAGGTTTAGCCAGATGCGGAATTAACTGTTCTTTCGCTACCACTCAGTCCTTTCCTCTGGAAGTGTGATGCGAGGCCTGGCTAGGCCAAAGGACATCCAGAGAGGATGGGCACAGACATCCTCTCATGCAGCAACTGTTCATTTAAAGACGAAGCACTTTTAGTCCATATGGTACCTTTGTGTGCATAAGAAAGGCTGTCCCATCTTTTGAGAAAACGTCAGAATATACTGATTTTGTTAGATCAAAACTTCATTTCTATCTGGTATAAAATTGATATAATAAAAATAAAAATCCATGATTTATATGATAAAAAGCTACAGAGCTGCCAAATATAGATATGATGATTATGCAGTACATAATAGAAATGTGCTATTTGGTAGCTCTCTATAAAGCACCATGATGTGTCCTATTCCCTGTTAGTTAGTGGGGATCTACTGGCTCTTTTCTCCAGGAGCTAATAAGTCCATTAGAGAAATCAAATATGCAGGTGGAGAATTGTATTATACAATGTTAAATACAATCGTATAGATATGATTAGGGTGCGGTTGAACACAGAGAAGCTGAAAACAAACACTCTCTGGGTCTTGAAAGAACATCAGGAGTTTTCAAATCTTGGGTATAGGGTAGAAAGATAAGTGAAGGTGTCAATTTCAGCCAGAGAGAAGAGCATGTGTAAGATTAGAAAAGTAGGGAAGTTGGTGAGGAGAAGCTCAGCATGGTTGTGATCATATATTGAGAGAGAAGTCTGGAGAGGTAAATTTGGAATAGATTGTAAAGGTTCTCATATGCTAAATTAATAAATTTGGATTTTATTTTTTAGATAATAGAGCCAATATATAAATTTAAATTTTCAGGAAGTCAGTGATGGTACAATGGTGTATAGACTGGAGTCATACTGACAACTGGCAACCCAGTAAGGCCATTGCAATGGTCAAGAAGAAGAAAGCTGCATTTCTGAGCTCAGGTTGTAGCAATTCAGACAGAAAAGACATTTCAGAGAGAACCTCTGATATTTAGTGACTGTTTGAAATTTGATGGCAGCTTTGAGTGGGGGATACAAGGAAATAGCTTTTAGTAAGAAAATGAATGGATATGGAGTTGACTTTGGTCTTTTGTTTGCAAAATTCCCAAGTTGGGATTTCTGTCCTGATCTGGATTTACCCCAGAATTTAGCCTGATAGGAATTACCATGCTAAAAAAGAAGTTACCAAATGCTGCTGATGTGGCCTGTTACCAAGTTAAAGAGAGAAAATTACTCAGGTCTTTGCTTAAATGCCTCCTTACCAGAAAGCATTTCCTGATACAAAATAGCAATGTGTCTTCTTATGCACATGTATTTTTCATCACCTGATATAATATCTATTTACTTGTTCATTTTCTCTCTCCCCTCACCAGAAAGTCAACTTTGACAGGAACAGACTTTCTTCTCTGTTGCATTCCGGACCCTGGAGCAAAGCCTGGCACGAGGTGGTTAATAAGAAATATTCGTTGAATGCTTGCCATGCAGAGACTTAGTTTTATTTCAGAGTACTTAAGAAATGAAGTTTACGAGTTCGAATCACACACAGATTGGTTCAGTGAATGGTAATTTACCATCTGCCTGAAACTGGGCGATGTGTTAAGTACTTGTACCTGTCCACGCCTCCTCACCGGCCACCCTCCTCCCCATGTATTTCAGGTGCACTCATTGCTGAGTAAGAGCACTCTACCTTCCCAAGTTCCACAGCTCAGAACCTTCAAGTTAATTTTTGTTTTGTTCGCCCGTTGTATGTGGACCTTTCTTTAGTTGCCAAATTTTTATGATTTTTTCCCCTGTTCTCCTGAATTGGCACTTCTGTATTGCTTAGCCCATCATCCTGGTCTCTATTTAACTTCTCACTGATTGTCTATCCTTTTTATTGAATAAAAGCATTTCTCAGATGTCTCTTTCATAGTATCTTCAGAGACTTCTTGTTTTCTAAAAAGAATAACTTGAATTTTTCAGCCTGAAATTCTAGACTCTTCATCAACTTGCTCTCTATATCTTGTCAAACTGTTTTGATATTTCCCCAGCATTTCTCACAATCACTTCATTTGTAAACTTTTGTAGATATATTTATTTTTCTCTGTGTAAAGAAGCAAAATGAAGTGTCTGAATGTACTCACTTTTAAAGCACAGTGAGTAATATAGAAGTCATGCCTTCATATGCAATCTTAGTTACTATATGGCTAATTAAAAGATCAGTTTTTGATGAAAACATTTCTCAATTATTTTACATGAAATTCAGAAACCTTTTTAGCACGTTTCATCTTAGTTGTGAAGCAAATGAATTTCATGTTTCACATAGAATTTGTCGCAAATTTGGGCATGGAGTAGGACGAGGGAAAGGAGGGCATTCTAAGGAGTACAGAAGGTAGACAGATAAAGAAATAATTGTTGTAAAATATAATAAGTGCAATGATATAGGTATTAAAACAGCCTCTAACACACACACACACACACACACACACACACACACATTTACTATCATCATTCAAATAACACAGAGAATGAAATAACTTGAAACAATGTTCTTACTTCATTTATCACCTTTTATGCTAAGAGCAGGATGGGAATAACGCAAACTAAAAATACTAACAAAAATCTATTCAATTAAGTTGCAAAACAATCCAGTCAGCAGAGAACACTCACCTAGAAAATGTAGAAATAAGCAAATATACACTAGTTTGTTTCTTCCTAGAGAGAATGAAATAACTTGAAACAATGTTCTTACTTCATTTATCACCTTTTATGCTAAGAGCAGGATGGGAATAACGCAAACTAAAAATACTAACAAAAATCTATTCAATTAAGTTGCAAAACAATCCAGTCAGCAGAGAACACTCACCTAGAAAATGTAGAAATAAGCAAATATACACTAGTTTGTTTCTTCCTAGACAGACTCAGTGAGCCATCCAGCAAACGCAGGACTACGTATCGACGTCCCAATAAAACACAGGTTCAGAATGGCTGCCTGGTAGTTGTGATAGCCCAGATTGACAGTGCAAACGGGCATCATGTTGCAGATGACTTCAAAGAAAGTGAACCTCTCACATAGCTCCACCAGAACCAAGCAGATTCCCACCTGAATGGGAAATGAAGAGAAATAACCAATATGTCTTACAGTTTTCTCTTTCTCAGTGCTGTGATTTAAGGGTATTTCCTCATCAATTATTGTAAAGCCTGTAACAGACATGACTATCTTCCTTGAATACAACTTATGTTAGTGGTTTGAACTTGGTGATTTTATCTCCACCCCTCTACTGAAAAAATAGTAAGACCGTTGTTTCGAATTTCACATCACCATGCTAAAATTTCTTAAGGTTTTTTCGCACACTAGTGTTCTTCATTTTAATGATCCAGGAGCACAGGAGAGGAGCTATGAGTATTTAAGCATTCGTGGTAGCTCAGTGTAGCCAGATCTGATTTGTTTGTTTAATTACTTAGAGGTGAAATTAGGCTCTTCTTCCAAAATTGTATTGAATCACATGAATCCAGTTGCGTACATGTGGAGACTCATCTGCCTCACACTGATAAAGGTTTAAATACAGAGGCAGAATACGCAGTTTTTCAGGAGAATTTGAGCAGTAGATCAAGAAATAATTTGAGTCTAATAATTTCTGATACTTTAATTAAACAAGCCGGAACAGTACCGAGAGATAAAGTGCAAAAGGAAGTCTGTTTTGAGGGGGCAGGATACCTTATCATTATTACATTTCTTGTTATTTTTGGTTGGAATTCTGATAAGAAAGTTAATTAGGTAACAAAAGTGCTGGTACATTTAGGTAACAAGCAGAGTTTACAAGAAAGTAATTTAAGCGCAGTAATGAAAGGAGAAAATATTAAACAAAACCCTGCTTCCTTTAAGTTGACCCCATGCTTGTAGAACAGCCTCTCAGAGGAAATCAGAATCAAAAGTCACTATTTAGCTCCCTTATTATTAATCAGCAGTCAGGGATACAGCAACCAGTCTACACGTGCTTTGGGGAATATTGGATCTGGTATCACCTTGACTCTCCAGCTGGGTGAATGAATGTTAGCATTCTATTTTGGAAAGCAGGAGGGCACCAATTAAACAAACAAACAAACAAACAAAAAGCAGCGGTGAAGGAGAGCACCTTAACATTTACTATTTAGCTGCGACGACATTGGAAGACAAGGGAATGAAATTATTGGGTCAAAGTCATAATAATTCAATACATGAATATAGGAATGTTATGTTGGAGTCAAAACCAAAAGACTGGCAAGGGCTTTTGACTCTGGGTCTTATCTTTTCTCCTGAAAGATTCGGAGTAACACACTTTGTTCTGACTCCATCTAATAGTCTTATTGTAATGGTAGCTAGTTGCATCTGCTCAGAGTCACTCATTCGCCCTTTGGTAACAACTCCCTATTTTTCCCTTATGTAGAGTGATCATACAATTTATTATTCAAACTTGGACACTTCTGTGAGTGAAAAGTAGTCATTGCTGAAAAACAGATATAAACTAGGACTGTCCATGGCAAACTCCAACAAGTGGTCACCCTACCTTTGGGGAATGACTCCCATCTATTACATGAGATCACGGGGAAGCTGTTAATCAGGGGTTCATCCCTTTTCTTCTAGCCAAGGGGGTCAACACATGGCCTAAGGTAGTCCTTTTACTTTTCTCCTTTGGAATTGTAATCATGAGTGGAGTGACTCAAGAACAGACAGGGTGGAAGCTGAATAATTCAGATGGCGGTATCCAAAAGGGATTGCCCACGAGGCCCTGATGAGAACTCAGTGCCTCCCTGGTTCTTATCCTTCAGGAGGCACAATTAGTTTTTCTTTCTGGAAAAGACTCAAATCATTCCAATTAATTTTTGATTTGATTAAATTAGCTACATTGCTTTCTATGGCTTACAAAGAACCCAGTGACTCTTTTCTTTTCTGTTTGCTCCAGCTGTAAGAGAAACTTGTTCCCTGGCCACTGGGTGATATATCTAGCCCCTGACCACATGCTCCTGCAGTGTCATTTCCCAAGCAGGGGAGTGTTGCCCATTTCAGGGTAGGATGAAGATCATGTTTGAATTCTTTGGCTCCTCTGTGTATCCTTGGCCAAGAACAGGCCACAGGTGGTAGGTACCTGTGGTTTAGGAATGGCTGAATCAGAGAGCACAGCAACATTTGCCTTCTTTGAAAGGGTTATTTGGTAACTCTCCAAGAGAGCCACCTACTCAGAAATAAAACTTATTTTAGGTGTCTGTAAGGGAAAAAAATCTGACAATTAATATTATAATAAGAACAAAATATTTGCAAAAAGGATATTCACTGAATTGGGAGTTAGAAGAACTGAGTCATATTCCTGCCCCTTTATCACTTAAGGCACATTCATTTTTTGTCGATGAGCCCATTACAGGTACCACAAAATGCAAATGGTCAAGCCTACCCCAGAAGGTCATTTCTGCAGCTTGGTTTAGAAAATGACTGGTGAAATATCAAGGATTATACCAGGAAATGCTTTTGTTATTACTCACTCGTATATTCCTGCACTTTCTAGTTACTCTAACCAGCGGGCTGCAGAGAAATGTCGTGGAACCATCTCCAAATTCCAGTTTGCACAGAAGACAAAAGTGAGGAGGCAGATTGTGCTGCATAGAGTTGAAGCAATGGCAAAACAGCTCCTTCTTGTCACTTCTCTGCTAGTTGCCAATACCAAGCTCAGAGTGAGCTCGAAGAACAAGTACCAGCTCCACTTGAGAATAACACCTGTTAGGGAATATTTACTGTCATCATCTTTACCAATAAATTGAGCCCTTCAGTGGGGAATTATGCAATTTTTAGTTTTATGAAACTCCCTACCCCACCCCAACCCCAGGCTTGCTCTTTGTAATGAACCGATATTTTCCCACTATTATAGAAGCAATGTATGCAGTATATGTACATTGAATACAATTTGGAAAAATATCTAAAAATAGAGGAAAAAACAAGAAAAAATTTTGGAGCATTTTTTTTTGATGTTTTCCCCCCATGACTATTTTTAAATATTTATATTGTATAATTGTACAATACGTTTTCTACCCCATTTGTCGTAAGCATTTTAACATGCTATTATGAACTTTTTTTAAACATAATTTTTTATGGGTGCATTAATAGATACATAGTTTACTTAACTACTCTTCCATTGTTGGTTAGTTATTTTTGTCTCAGATCAGTTATAAGCCAGTCTTTCTCTAACTTTTAACCATGAGCCTGCAATTAAAAGAAAAAACACCTTTATAAATAACACTGGGATGAATATCAGTGCAGAAAGCTTTCCTCGTTCCCAGATTATATCCTTTGGTTAGTTTTTCAGAAGCTGTGTTACTTGCTAAAAGTATGGAAAAGTTTTTAGACTTCTTGATATATAATGGCAAATTATCATACAAACTTAAGGCTTTTTGTTAGTTGGAAAGCCTATATTGTTTTTGGAATGCAGAGACTGTACTTATTACCAAAATCCTCCATTGGAAAGGCCAAAGTCACATGTCAAAGATGTGGAGGAATAATGTTGACCTTACGTACTTGTATGTATTGAAAAATGTATCTCATTTAATAGCAAAATTAGTCAGAGATGAACTAATAACCGTCCCTGGATGAGGTAGTTTGGGGATCATACCAGAAAGATAAGCCCTGTTTTTGAGGAGGCTATTTTTAAATATGAGGAATTAAAAAGCATCTCTGTAAGGTATCTCCAAGATGATTATGAATTTTGAGAAACCTATAGTCCTTTCTAAAATATTTTTACAGTGTTTTGCTCCAACACTTTTCCATTTTTATATGTATTTTCAGAAAAACTTTTCACAGGTCCTGTAAATACTTAGTAATGTTTTTAGAGGAAGGGCTTTCCTAGCTCAAGAATTCTCTGCAAATGGTATACAAAAAGGTGAGGTGGAGATATTTATTCTTTTAGGACTATTGATTCCATCTAATTCCATTGACTATGAGATTTGGTAGCTGGTTAAAAGCATCGTTAAGAACATAGGGATAGGCTTCACCATAATTTAATTATTAAAAATTGTATGCCAGCATGTACTGAAACAGCACACTGTATCCCAAAAATATGTACAAGTAGATGTTAAAATAAAAAAAAAAAAAAAATCGTACATCAAAGACTTGGGGTGAGGGCTGGCCCGGTGGCGCACTGGATAGTGTGCCGCTTGGGAAGCGCGGCGGCGCTCGCGTCCGAGGGTTCGGATCCCACATACAGACCGGTTCCCGCTCACTGGCTGAGCGAGGTGCGGGAGCAACACCGAGGCTTGCGATCCCGTTGCCGGTCCCTGGTCCGGTACGGGGGCAACACTGAGGGTTGCGATCCGTTGCCGGACACGGAAAAAAGACAAAAAAAAAAAAAAAAAAGACTTGGGGTGAATTTTTTTTTTTTTTTTTTTTTGCTGCATTGTTCGAAACGTAAGGTGGAAATGGAAAGATACATATTGGGATTTATTTTTTCGTTTTGTGAAAAAAAAATGTACTCTGTGTAAACCCTTATGGCAATTGAATGATATTTATACCTTGATCCTTCTGTCCAGTATAAAAGAGAATTACACCTAGTAGATGATAGCTCATACAGTCCCCCAAACATAGAAAATATTCAATTCTTCTCCAATATAGTGTGTTCTTTATTTTTCTGGGGATAACTAAGAATGAAAGCTATTGTACTCTTATAGGGTTTTTCTTCCACAATGACCATCGCAAACCTTTCTCTTGTGTTGAATTCTACATAGAAGGTGTATCTCTATAAAGTGAGTAATGTGGAAATGAGTTATGACATGAATACTGTGATGGTTAATTTTATTCTTCTATTTGTCTGGGCAAGTGCCCAGATATTTGGTTAAATATTATTCTGGGTGTTTCTATGGGGGTGTTTTTGGGTGAAATTTACATAGGTCGGTGGACTTTGTGTAAAGCAGATTGCCTCAACCAATCAACTGAAGCCTGAGTAGAACAGAAAAGGCTGACCTCCCTTGAGCAGGAGGGAATTCTCTAGCAGACTACGGACCTCATCTGCCATGTACGCTCTTCCTGGTTTAAACTCGAACTGCCAGTCTTTCTAGGATCCCCAGCCCACAGCCTCCCCCATCAGATTTTGGACTTGTCAGACCTCCACAATCACATAAGCCAATTTCATAAAAACCCTTCATATATATATATATATACACACATACATGTATATACACACACATATACACATA